TTGCTCCGTCTGGTTCTTGTGATCCCTGGGAAAGAGAAAAATCACTGCACTCTGCTTCAAGGTCTCCAGGCCTGCCCAAAATGTGGAAGGACAAATTGAGCCCATTGGCACAAGTAGCCCGTCTTTGAATAGCTGGGGCATGGATGGCCATAAAATCGAACCTAGTCAAAAGGCATGGTGGCTCAATCTTGTATGAGCAAGCGCGGGAAGCACATCCACTGCCTTGAGATCCTGGGGTGGATCACACTCAGCACTCGTCTGCAAGGCCTGGCAACCGGGCAATGCCACAAGAATACCCACATGCCCAGCCTGCTCCGCTGCCAATATTGCTGAAGCTGGCTCAAGTGATGTGGCCTCCGGCATGCTGCAAGCGTCTATACACGTGCTTTGTGCTATCTTCAGCAGAGTCGCAGGATGCACACCGAACACCTGACGGCAGGGCTTAAACTGGGGAACTGCTCAAATGCTGAACTGCTTAACTGCTTAACTGCTTAACTGCTTAAGTGCTTAACTGCTGACGCAGCGGCCGCCAAACCCTCCAAGCCCAATGAACACCGCGGAGGTTTCGCCGAAAGCATCATTGAGGGCACCTCCGCTGAACTCAACCCTGGCACCTCCGTCAACCCTTTGCAACCCCTGCCCTGCGCTTTGCAAGCTCGACACATCACTGTCAATGGACACTTGTCAGAGGCCCACCGTGCTGATCACAGTCTGACTTCGTAGGCGAGAAAAGAGCAGGAATCGAATGGGTGGACCAGACTTCGCCATCTCCAAATTCCTTGCCAATTGCTGAACTGCCGAATTGCAAGCTGTTGTTGAAGAAATTTAGCGGTGGACTCAGAGGCTGTGGTTCCCTTTGGGTTGCATGCCTGTGCCAAGAATCAGTTCCACATCAATGCTTCGGACTGGCCAAGATGTAGATTCGATGAAGTCGAACAGTTGCTCTCCCCCTGGCTGCGTGACGGAGAAACTTGTTGCAGAAGCTCAAAGCCCTGTCCAGGACCATGCGACCAAGGCACCTTGAGTCTCTCCAAGCAACCACATAATGAGCTCAAGATGACGATGTGCATCCTGCAGTTCATGTTTGCTCACCGAGCCCACAAGCAGGCAACGTGCAGCCGAACATATCCGTCGACCCCTTTGCAAAAGCCATGCTAGTCTCTGCAAAGCGGCGAGGCGTGTTCTAAGTGGTGGTTAGGGGGAGTCTGAGGGGGGGAGGGGGGGTCCCGCGGCGGAATTTTGACACAACGTCTAACCCTAACCTCCAACCCTAGCCTCTAACCCTAACCTCTAACCCTCACCTCAAACCCTAGCCTCTAACCTTAACCTCAAACCCTAACCTCGGACCCTGATGATCGATAAAAATCATTGTTAATGACAAACAAAAAAAGTGATGGTGATGGTGATGGATATGGTGATGGTGATGCTGATGGTGATGGTGATGGTGATGGTGATGATGGATGATGGATGATGGATGATGGATGATGGATGATGGATGATGGATGATGGATGATGGTGATGATGGATGATGGATGATGGATGATGGATGATGGATGATGGATGATGGATGATGGATGATGGATGATGGATGATGGATGATGGATGATGGATGATGATGTTGATGGTGATGATGATGATCATGATGATGATCATGATGATGATCCTGATGATGATGCTGAGATGATGATACCTAACCTCTAGCCCTAGCCTTTAACTCAAACCTCAAACCCTAACCTGTAACCCTAACCTCTAACCCTAACCTCTAACCCTAACCTCTAACCCTAACCTCTAACCCTAACCTCTAACCTTAACCTCTAACCCTAACCTCTAACCCTGATGACGACGAACACGATATTGATGAGGATGATTGATGATGATGATGATGATGATGATGATGATGATGATGATGATGATGATGATGATGATGATGATGATGATGATGATGATGATGATGATGATGATGATGATGATCATGATGATGATGATGCTGATTCTGATGCTGATTCTGATGCTGATTCTGATGCTGATCATGCTGATGATGATGCTGAGGATGCTGAGGATGATGACGATGATGACGATGATGCCTAACCTCTAACCCTAGCCCTGACCTCCAAACCCTATCCTCTAACCTCGAACCTTAACCTCTTACTCTAACCTCCGACCCTGATGATGACAAAGACGAGAATCATGATGATTGAGGATGATGGTTGATGATGATCATGATGATGATGATGGTGGTGATCACCGACATCACCATCGCTGAAGATCCTGGGAATACGAGGTGCGCTGGCGATGCTACAAGCTGCCCTTTTGGTCTTGGAGCACCAGGAAAATAGGCAGCTTTTGCATCCACAGCTTTGCTGGCATCATACTGGAGGTGCATGCTGGGGATGCGGGTGCTGCCTTTTTGACAGTCCGGAAAAACAGTATTGGGGGTCGGCGGAATCAAGCGTCAGCCTGCTAAATGACTTTGAAATAGCAAAAACAAAGAATTGGCAGCACGTGCCAATAGAAGACATCTTTGCCACTTACACCCTGCACATTTTAGACAAATGCATTCCTTGGTCTTGCATCGTCTTAACAATGACGCAAATGTCTGGTAAACGCCAGCCTCTCAAACTGCACGGTATAGCCTCATGCCCAACATGCAATCTCTCACTGAGCCAACAAAATGGAAGTATAGATCTCCTGCAACACCTCGACAATCACCCAAAGCGTTGAAAAACATTCTGCACGCCACTGGAGGAACACTACAGCCTAAACCCTAAACATGAATTGACTTCAAACTGGCAAAGCAACACATACACACACACATGTCAAACGTCTTAGAGCTGCTTAGCTTGAGACCGTTGGAACAAATCCTATGTCATGGAATGTTTAATGATTGTCATCCTCCAAAACTATTTATCAGTGCGAGGCATGCATGTTTTTGGGCCATCGGTCCAAGGCCAACCCCACGTTGCTCTCGTTTGGAAGAAAAAAGCTTGCCGATTGAAGCGATCTTCTAGTTTGTTGCCTGTGGCCCGCTTCATGAACTCGGACTCTTCTCTGTTCATTGCGTGTCTGACTCACAACGTGCAGCCTCAAAGCAAGACACAAGGCGACTCTCTTCTCACTCTGCCTCCAATTGCCGCGGCACGGCATGACGATAGGCAACGAAAAGGGCCGTAATGATGCCGTACAAGCCTTTGGAGATGCTGAAGCCGATTCCCAAAGAACTGTCTTCAAGCCTCTGACAAATGTGGCCACGTTCGGCGCCCCGTTGATTCTCAATCACCCGTCCATCACCAAATCCATCTGGTGAAACCTGCAGGTGGTGTCTGCAGCTGCCACGACAAAAGCAGCCTGAAGGCCTGAAGCTCTGGCGGAATAAGAGGATCATGACGACCGTGATCGGCTGTTCGAAAAGACCTTTCAGTCCCATGAGAGAACAAGTCAACAGCTTTGGGACTGTGCTACAAGGCACTCCCAAACTGCGCCAGCAGGATGGATCCAGGAACGGCCGGTGCTCACATCATCAAAGCGCTCCAGCAGCTCTGCCGCAGCAAGGGCCAGTTCTGCATCCAACGGCCTCGTGCAGCTGATTATCTCCCCATTCCGGTGCAAACACAGAACCGATTTCAGGCCTTTGAACCAAAACAGTGAATCCATAAGCAAACAAGGCGCACGGAGATTGGAATGCAAGCTGCTGACTGATTTGCTACCCGCTTTCAGCCCGCCGCCATCCCAAGCCAGCGTTGACCGTGGCACGCCTGCATGCTCCCAGATCAAAGCATGCATATGCAAGCCTGCGTCTGCTGCGTCTGCTGCGTCTGCTGCGTCTGCTGCGTCTGCTGCGTCTGCTGCGTCTGCTGCGTCTGCTGCGTCTGCTGCGTCTGCTGTGTGAGCAATGAGTGAATGATACAGCGAGCATGTCTCGCAATGACATGCCGCTGGCCTCCGAAAAGCCGTCCACACAGCACTGAAGCCTGCCTGTTGCGATGGACGTTGAAATTCCCCGTGAATCCTAGCTCCTGCCTCCGTACAGTCCAGAAATGCTGGAGTCTCCAGTCTGAGGATAGCGCATGCCCCGTCTCTTCACCCTATGCACGCCCGCCTGATCCCACAGCAGCTCCAAACCACCACACCAAGCCACAAGGCCGCTTTGACGACCATATTCCACGATCCATGGAATCCATGCTTGCCATCGTGAAGTTTGACTGCTCTGACAAAAGTTGCTGAAGGTACGACATTGCAAGGGCGAACATATGTTACTTGCAGTTAGCCAGCAAGCCATGTCTCTGATTCCCTTCTTGGAACAACTGTAAGTGTCGGTTTCAACATAGGAACCATTTGTGCCTCAAGCCAAAAACAGACTAGAGTCGCTGGAAGTTTCAGGGCAAATTGATACAGCGCTGGACACATGCAAAGCTCTTCATGCAAAGCTCTTCATTCTGCAATTGGGCAACACTTTTTGCTGTCAAAGGTCCCGATCCCATCTCTCCATCTCCTTTCGGGAACATCAAGACTCATCATCAGAATGCATCACAAGCACATCTGCCAAATCCCTATGCTGGTCCTCTCGTGACGTGCCAGGAGGATGTATACCCTTCGTCCGGCAGGAATCTGGAATGAGAAGCGGGTTCATACCTGTGCTCGCAGCTCTTCTGCTTTTGTAGCCGGAAGCTTAGATACGTAGCACTGCATCAGGTGCAGAGTGCTGATCTTGGGCTCAGACACGCATTCCAAAGGACGTCGGATGACGCATCCTAAGTTTGGTTCTATGCAACAAAACGGGATGCTTCCATCGTGCAGTACCCAAGCGATCGACAATATCCAGGTCTAGACATTGCCCAGTGGTGAAGCAGAAGACCTGCAAGAAACCGCATGACACATCCTTTAAGCGCCAGCCATACTCGATTGCGTAAGCCGCTTGCTCGCCGGCTTGACGTGCAGGACTTGCACAAATCCCAGAATTCCTGGAGTCACACAGTCGCACTAAGGATCTTTGCACTTTCACCACCCCGCACTGCGAGTCCCGCGTCTCACCATCCCACAAGGAATCAGCAAGAACTGGAGTGGCCTTGCGCGTCAAATGCGTGAAAACCAACATAAAAGCAAGCCTACTGTGCAGCAATCAAAGGGGCCTGACACCAAAGTACTAGCCATGCAGCAACGCGCGTCATGACGGAAACTATGTTAGTGGCAATGCTATGTCGTTGAAATCGCAAGCCTCATTGATTGTAGCCTGCTTTGAGCAGACTGTGCGAAGAATGTCTTTGCGTACAAACACGCAAACATAAAGTACTCTTAGCTGTGAGCGAAGCCAGTCACCACAAATAGGTCATATGCTAGCTTAAAACGCCAGATGCTGTCAGGTTTGGCCATTCGCTTCGAGCAAAGGCGGTGCAACAGACCGCAATGACTTCAATGTAACTCCACAAACTGCAACTGAGGCAAACTCTGACGCGCTTTTCTGGCTCGATCTTGCCCTGACTCTCAGAGACCAAGCAGCTTGCTGTGAATGTCATCCTCCACAGAATGCCTCTGCACCTACAGGAATCAACTGCACCTCTTCTGGCATAGTATGGCACATGCGCTTTCCGATTGATCGTTGCTGCTTTTGGACAAGACATCGAAAAAGGCAAAGTCGCGTGCCTGATGGGCTGGCCTGCGCTTGGCTTCCATTGGCATTTGAACAGGCAACGCAGTCAACTGTGAAATGTTGCAACACACATGGCCTGCCCTTGCTGCCCTTGCCGTTTGTGGCCTGGCATAGGAAACTTCATCTGTATCTGCATATGGCACGCAGCATCCATCCAGACAAAGCATCTGCATAAAAGGTGGCCTATACCCCAAAACAAAGTAAATGTAAGGCTGTATGAAAACTGCGCGAATCTCAGCCAGTATTGGCCTGTGCCGCAGAAGGGTTGCAGGGTCCTCATGGCTTGACAGAAGCATGTTTAAACTCCATGCATACTCCATCAGCACTGCAATGCAAGATCTGTCATTTTCAATGCCAAGGCTCCAGATCCCTGGCCTTTGGCTCCTCGTGCAGACCAGCAGCCCCAGAATCGGAAACACGAGGTGCGGCGAACGATTCCGAAAGTGTCCTTTGCTCTGGTCGTAGTACTTCTGCCATACTTTGCACCTGAGCATTGCAGCCATTCTTGGCATTCTCACCGCGGTAAGGCTGCCACCATTGAAAGTACTGCCGCCAACATTGTTGGCCTAACGTGAAGCGCTGGCAATAGATGTCTCCCTGAAACTCGAGGGCGATGCGGTACGCTTCGAACTCTTCTGGTGAGGCACCTACGATCGCGGAGTGGAAACACGTGCGGCGATGCATGGGTTTTGCACCTGGCGGAGGTTCTGGCACAGAGGGCCTTGGTTCAAACATACGCCACGGCATGCACCGCATGGGAGGGCTCAGTCTGTGGCGCTTGTGGCAGGCGAGCCTGACCGATCAATGCACTTGCATGCTCCTTCTGACGCCAATGCGCTCTGCACTGGGACTTGCCTGGAGCTCCGGCCTGGCAAGGCGCAAAGTGAGCACGAGGTGCAGAGTACCCAAAATACCCAAATGAGACTCAAACAGTTCAAACAATTCAAACATGCAAGACGAGCCGGGAGACATCAGCGCCGAGGCTCCTGCAATGAAGTGCAAAGCACCATGCTCTGAAATTAAGGCTGATCACAAGCAAAGCATGCAATACAACTGGCAAGCATCGGCCTCAACATTTGCGCTTTCCTGCCATGGGTTGAAATCCACTCTGAAGCAATGCAAGTCAAATAACTCCGATATAAGTCCGACAAGTCAACAGTTGATAGACGACTCTTGAGAGCGATCCTCGCGGCTAACGCAGCTTGCTCTGCCTCCCTCGCAGCATGGTCCTCACGCTCAAGGCAACACAGAAAACTGAGGCCTGAGAGGGGAACAGCCCAACCTGCATGGGAGCTCGAAGCGGCAGGGGCACCCCTGCCGGTTCTGATCGGTGTTTTGGCATCGTCAACATAGCTTGCAAACTGCAAGCAAGCGCCAAGCCTGCTTCGGGTCTGAATCGTTTAGTAGGCGGCTCTCCTGCATTCACATGGGAAAATCCCCTTTGCACTTGTTGGCGTGTTCAACGTTGCCTTTCTTTAGATAGGCAAATGAAATGCCACAACAGGTCCGTGAGGTCTTGCGCTTTTGGCGCATGTTTGACCCACCACTATAGAAAGTGAGGGTAATGGGGATGAAGGCAACTTGTTGTGAACCTCACCTGAAGGAAATGCTAGGGTCATGGCACGATTGTCAGACGTGCAAAGTTTGAGGGGGGCACCTGTAGGGCCAAGGAGCAAAGTTTGAAAGCCGAATCGTACAAGGCTGGGCCGAAAGCCACCCTTTTGTGGAGGTCAACTTTGTTCAAGTATGTTTAAATGCTCTATCTGGTGGTTTGGAATAGGAGTTGGTCATGCCATTTTGCAGGCGTGAGATTCGGTCATTGCATACTGAATTTTAGAAGGACCTCTCACTTTGTCTGAGCCACGTTCTCCCTTGAGGAGGCAGATCTCCAAAACAGTCCAGTTGTCGCGGTTGTCCGTACATGGCACAAGCACAAGCGGCTCCTTGGATCACAAGAGGCTGCACCATCGGGTGAACTGACCCAATTGGTGTCATGGGCGTTACAGGCACACCGAGGGCACCCATGCCCAGGGCGGCAAAGCTCGGAGCGTTGCCCGGGCCGTGGCCGCCATGGCCCACGCCCGTGGAGCTCACAGCAGGGATCCCCAAACTTCGCAAGGATCTGGGCGGCGCTGGCAGAGCTGGTGGTGCCGGCACTGGCAAAAGAGCTGCTGGCATCGCGTGCGCATGCGTGCGCGCCGCATGCGACTTTGGCGCAGACCTGCGATCTTTGCACAACAAATGAGATCTGTACCGGCGACTCTCGTAAGTCTCGTTGGCTAAGTCTGAGGCTTTGGCTTATCGAGTTGCGCCTTGAGCGCATCGATCATCTGCTGCCGCTGGTCCAAACCTTTGTCCTCGGGCATGATGGGATGCAATTGATGGGGACCCTACTTCAGGAATCATTTGACAGCTCTGTGCATTGTAAAGATGCTTTCCTGACGGAGCAAAGACTCACTGAGGGCCGGACCAACTGAGCCATCACGTCTGAAAAGGTATCTGCAGGAGCAGCACTGGGACTGTCCTTCAAAGAAAACTCTCACCATGAGTTAGCAAAGTAGCATTCTTCTAGCCCTTTGCATTCGGCCTCATCATCCACCTCAATGACCGGTGGTGCAGGCCTTGTTTGCTCGGTTCGGCAAGGGTGTCTGTGCATTTTCTCAAACCAGCTCTTCACGTCTTGGGAGTCAACACTGCAGGCACCTCTACTTCTTGCACATCTCCTGAATCCTGACAGGTGAGAGGCAGGCAACATGGTAGCAAATATGTTCTACAGTATGTCCATTATGTGATGGCTTTAAAGCAGCAACAACTCTGACGGAATCAGCTGCTTGCATGTCTTGCGGACACATGCTCTGGGGGTGAAGAGCACAGGAGGTTGGTGCTAGCAAGAAGCTGGGAGATGATATGGAATAACTGAGTGGGCAATGAGGTTTGTTTGTTGTCCTCACCTTAAAGCTGTCTGTGTGTGTGCAAATGATTGATCAATCCCATCGGAATCTCTCCCACAAGCAGTACTCAAGTTCTCTCTTTTTCTGTGCTCATGTGACACTAGTTCTCTCTGCTACAAAGCCGCTGTCGCATGAACAGCACATGAAACTTGATCAGCCCAACGGCAGTTCGGAAGGCGAGTTTAGCCATTCTTCGGAACTGTGATTCAAACATCACCCTTGCGTCGCAAGCTGGCCTACTTGCAGGCAACATGGTGGAATCCAGTCAGAACCTATGTTCAGGAAACCTGGGATAAACTGCAGAATGCTAATGAGCTGGCGAGTAAGCGGCTGACGCCAGCATGAGGCTCCGCATGTTCCCGCCTCAGCAAGCAAGAGCAGCGCGGGCTGCCCATCCCCAGCTGGCCTCAGAAATCAGCAAGTTGCATGGCCTGTGCCTGTTCAGGATTGTGCCAAAGTTGCATCCTCCATCCCGTCTTCAGACCCCTGCGAGGACTGCGAGTTGCCATCAGCACCGTCCAGCTTTGCCTTCCGACGCACAGATGGCGCACATCGCACGTCGCTCCATACACTCCAAGCTCCATGTGTGAGACACGGTGTTTCAACGCGGGGCACCCGCAGCGCTGCAAGCAAGGAGGCCCGCTGCTCGATACTTTCATCAACGTGTCCTGGCCAAGGCAGTCGCCCACCCTAAACCCTAAACCCACGAGCTAATTGCTCGAACCGAATGGGGTCTCAAAGTTGAGCATCTTCGAAGTCAAACAATCCCCGCACGATAGCTTCCGCTCAAGCGCATGTAAGATGCTTTCTGTGACCGGTGGCTTTCAAGGAACTCTGAACCCGTTGAACCCTTCGACTTGCATCCATTGACCTTCTGCTAAGGCTCGAAGCGAGCCAGATTTGCCAATCACTGAAGAGAAGTCTGCAGCCATGGCACCCACTCATTAAGGCAAATCCTCTGTGGCATGTGAATGAGTCACTGGTTGTGTGTGTGTGGGCGTTCACTTGAATTTAACACGCTGTCTTCTTAACTCCAGATTTAGCCATACCATTTGCGGCTGTTTGATGAGTAGCGGTAGCATTGATACAGCAAAAAATGCTGAGCCAAAATTGTTGCGCTGTACAATAAAGTGTGATGTCAGCAAGGGAGCGCACACAGGATGAGCCTATGCATGTGTCTTTGAGAGCAACTCTGCTCTTGCCTTTTATCCATGCTGCATTTGGTTTAGTTTGCCATGAAGACTGGTGTGGATTCGCTCGAAAGAATCGACCTGCGCGCAGGTCTGTATACCGTCAATGATCTGAGCTGCCTTGCAAATGAGCTAAGGGTGGAGCCCACTTCTGCAATCCTGCGAACTGCTTCGCCTTCTCCCCGCCACCAGAGCTAACTTGCAAGAAGCCCTCACCAGAGAGTTCCAAACACTTGCCGCAATGCTAGCATTCCAAGTGCATGGGCTCCAATGAGCAAACACGCCTCGATGCCGTCTATTCTGGCTGCGATTTTCTCGTCCAAAATCAGCTGAACCAGAAGGGATACAACCTGCAAATGTGTTTGTTTAGAATATAATCAAATTGCAAGCAGTACTGTTGACGCTCACGTGCCTCATCACTTGTGACATTGATTTCTTTGGCAAGGAATTCCAAACTGACACACCGGTACGGCTTGATGATGTTCTGCAGCACCTCGTGCGAAACCCGACGCTTGGTTTTGACTCTCCGATCAAAATGCAGAACGCACTCTGGCCTGCAAGCGAATGTTTCGCAGCAAGTCCTGCATATGCCACTTCGGAAAACATTCATGTTGCAGACGTACACAGTAGGTGCACGATGCCTGAAGGTATGTGCGAATAAAGCTGTCAGAGAGAATTCGATAGGATGGGTTGGTCAGAAGCTGGTCAATGGTGCCAATGTCGTTCTGCCTCTAGCATCGGAGTCTGCTCTGACTCTTCATTCAACTCCAAGAGCCCAGCTCGTAGGCCGATCGGAGGGAGGCCATGGCACTGATCTCAGGATCATCCTGATAGACCTGCAGCAAATATGTGCCATGTTAGGCCATGTTGCTCAAATACCATGTCGCCCAATAAGTTGTGATGCCGTTGCAGATCTGTGTCTGGGCCCCAGGCTTTGGCCTCTCGTGAATCAAAGGGATTGATGGAAGACAGCGCCAGCATGTTTGCCAGCACCTTAGTAGTGTCAAGCTTAGTTTCTGGAGGGGCTCATGCTCATTGTGACAAACTATTCAAGAAAAGCACTACGTACTTCAGCATGATCTTGGCACGGCTTGCATTGCCCGTTTCCTGGTAGTTCTTGAAAGCTTCGAAGAACTCGTTGTATGCCGCCTACTCTCTCAGTGATTCACAGCAGTCAAGCAGCAGACATGGGACACCAGAAACGTTCTGCCTCCCACTTCTTCTCGCTCATGAACATCTTCCCACCGCTTTCCCGAATTACGGCAATGTTTCTCGGGTCTGCGATGGCCTGCCAAGTGCAATCCGCATCATGGCAACGTGCTATGCTGCCCAACAGACTGCTCAACATGACAGCTGGGCCGAAGTCAGGTTGATGGTTTTGGGGTAGATCTCCTGGCGCCAGTCATGCTTTAATCTTAGAACATAAAACCTGGCCAGCGTTGCTCCTTCATCCGAATGGAATTCTTCGTCAGCGTGCACATCTGTGACGCATGCAATTGCTGATACTTCTGCCAAAACGCATACGCAAGCCTGGATTTCCAGCGCATAGACTTCCAGTAAGTGTGAGCCCTGTTCAAAAGGCGGCAGCAATCGGATGCAATTGGTCTGACTTGGTCAACTATGTCAACTTCTTGATATCCCAGCAGCTCTAGCTGAGTAGCAGCATGCCTTGCTGACGTCATCGGTGCCGTCGGGCTTCTGGCAAGTCCGATGCAGCGCCTGCTCATGGCCAGGCTTGCTTGTGACGTGATGCATCAGAGGCTGCATTGAGTTTCCACAGCAAAATGCCAGGTTCTTCCCTTAGCGAATCGAAAAGTTCGCACAAAATACAATTGAGCTGAGCATGTTGTTCAGCAACATGGGCTGGAAGGGGGCTAGCAAGCAATGGAGCACAAAGTCGAACTGGATGGTAAAGGGTGAGGCCAGAATCACAGGGGGCAAACACGAGATCAGTTTGGGCGAGTAGGAGTGACGCCATGGAGTTGCTCAGCTTGCACAAGCATCGCAAGCGGGAGCGATTTCGCAGAGCGGGAAATATCGGGTTGAAAAGCTTGTGAAAGACCTGCATGGCTTGGACAAACTAGGCGTTACGCAGAATCTTCGCGCTCGCTCCGAACCCTGGGCCTTATCCACCGCCAGAGACCTTCAAAACCTTCCAAAATCTTTCAAAGCCTGCGAACCTTCCGGAACCCAGCAGTCGCTGAAAGGTTTGAAAGTCGATCAACGCAGCTTCTCCGCGCAGGTCGCTCGATGCAAGTCTCTTCGCACAAGTCGCTTGATGCAAGTTTCTGTGGCCACGTGCCCAGCCCAAAAGCTGCAAAATGCATTTCGCGAATTCCTTTTGATCCCAAATTTGTGCTTTTCCTATTGGAGCTATGGAAGCGCACGTCGTGCGCTACTTTGACTCTTCCAATTTGCAACCTTCAAACCGCTGCAGCACCATTGCGCACTACTTCGTACTTGAAATTGTGCGATGTTCAAGCCTGAAGTTGCATTTTTCAAGCCGGAGGCGTGGGAGTGATTTTCCGGTGGAACATTCGTACTTAAAACTTGCGAGTTTCCAACCACAGCTGCGCGAGTGAATTTGCACGGCACCACAGCGAGAGCGATCCGACACGCGCGATCCGCACAAAGGGTTCCGGGCGCCAACGACAGACTCGTACGAGACTACAGCGAGAGTGGCTCTGACGTGCGCGGATCGAGGGTCTGCCGAGAGCAAGCGACCCGCAGATTGTTCGCCGAACCGAACACACACGTCGTGTACGGGCACAGAGCAATTTGGCACGCGCGCCCCCGCGCAAGGCTCGTCGGCCACATACAGAATGGCTGCGCGTTCCGCGTGTCGATGCGCACGAGCCCCCTCGCCGTCGAGCTTTGCAAATGGTGTGTTGCGACGCATTCAGCGCATCGACACGCGCAATCCCGCAAGAGTTCACCGCGACAAAGAAATTTGTTCTTCGCTGCGCGCGCGAGACATCGACGCACGTGAGCCCAAAGAGGGTTCTATAAATTTGCCTCTGCGTGCGCAGTGCATCGCATCGACACGCGCGATCCTGGCATCGGGTTCATCCTGCGGACGCAATCCAACCTCCGACAAGGAAATAGGATAGAGATAGAGTTTCATCTGCGGGCATGAAGCTGCTTGCGCAGCCCACACAGCAGGGCCGCGCAGGGGTGGGCTGCGCGTAGCAACGCTGCCCAAAGCTTCACTGCCCAAGGGCGCTGCACATCTGTCCAAGTTGGGCTGAGCGTAGCAAGGCCACGCAAAGCCGTGTGTGTGTGTGTCTGTGTGCGTGCCTCCGCCCGCCCGCCCGCCCGCCCGCCTGCCCGCCCGCGGTGTGTGTTGTGTGCATGTGTGTTGTGTTGTGTGTTGTGTGTTGCGTGTTACGTGTTGTTTGTGTTGTGCGTGCCTGCGTGCCTGCGTGCCTGCGTGCCTGCGTGCCTGCGTGCCTGCGTGCCTGCGTGCCTGCGTGCCTGCGTGCCTGCGTGCCTGCGTGCCTGCGTGCCTGCGTGCCTGCGTGCCTGCCTGCGTGCCTGCGTGCCTGCGTGCCTGCGTGCCTGCGTGCCTGCGTGCCTGCGTGCCTGCGTGCCTGCGTGCCTGCGTGCCTGCGTGCCTGCGTGCCTGCGTGCCTGGGTGGGGGCGGGGCTGGGGGCGGGGGCGGGGGGGGCGGGGGCGGGGGCGGGGGCGGGGGCATGTGCGTGTGCGTGTGCACGTGCGTGTGCGTGTGCGTGTGCACGCATGCGCGCATGTGTGCATGTGTGCATGTGTCTCTGTGTCTCTGTGTCTCTGTGTTTCTGTGTCTCTGCGTCTCTATGTGTCTACGTGTCTGCGCGTCTGTGTGTCTGTGTGTGTGTATGTCTGTGTGTGTGTGTCTGTGTGTCTGTGTGTCTGTGTGTGTGTGTGTCTGCGTGTGTGTGTGTGTGTCTGTGTGTCTGTGTGTCTGTTTGTGTGTGTGTGTGTGTCTGTGTGTGTGTGTCTGTGTCTGTGTGTGTCTGTGTGTGTGTGTGTCTGTGTGTGTGTCTGTGTGTGTGTGTCTGTGTGTGTGTCTGTGTGGGTCTGTGTGTCTGTGTGTCTGTCTGTGTGTGTCTGTGTGTGTGTGTGTGTCTGTGTGTGTCTGTGTGTGTGTGTCTGTGTGTGTCTGTGTGTGTGTGTGTCTGCGTGTGTCTGCGTGTGTCTCTGTTTCTCTGTGTGTCTCTGTTTCTCTGTGTGTCTGTGTCTGTGCGTCTGTGTGTCTGTGTGTCTGCGTGTCTGTGCGTCTGTGTGCCTGTGTGTCTGTGTGTCTGTGTTTGTGTTTGTGGTTGTGTTTGCGTCTGCGTGTTTTTGTGCTTGTGCTTTGTTGCGTTTGTGTTTGTATTTGTTGGTGTGTGTTTGTGGTTGCTTGCGCTTGTGCTTGTGCTTGTTTTTGTTTGTGCTTGTGTTTGTGTTTGTGCTTGTGCTTGTGCTTGTGCTTTTGTGTTTGTGTTTGTGTTTATGTGTGTGTGTTTGCGTGCTGGCTTGTGTTCGCATCTGTGTGTGTGTGTGATTGTCTTTGATGTGTATGTGTGCATATGTGGTTGTCTGCTCTTGTTTGTTTGCTTGACTGTTTGCTTGCTGGCTGTGGCTCAAAAAACCGGTACCAAAATGGAACCCTGTTAAGTGGAAACATGGACCAAATCCTGCGTAACCCCTCCCGTTTAATTTTGAGCCACACCCTGCTGATTATGTTGGTTGGTTGTTTGGTTGTTTGGTTGTTTGTTTGTTTGCTGGCTTGCTGGCTTGCTGGCTTGCTGGCTTGCTGGCTTGCTGGCTTGCTGGGTTGGTGGGTTGGTGGGTTGGTGGGTTGGGTTGGGTTGGGATGGGTTGGGTTTGGTTTGGTTTCGTTAAGTTTAGCTTGGCTTGGCTCGGCTTGTTTTCGATCGATTTGGTTTGGTTTCGTTCGGTTTGGTTTGGTTTGGTTTGGCTTGGTTTGGTTGGGTTTGGCTTGGTTTGGTTTGGCTTGGTTTTGGGCTTGGTTTTGGTTTTGGTGTTGGTGTTGGTGTTGGTGTTGGTGTTGGTGTTGGTGTTGTTGTTGTTGATATTGGTGTTGGTGTTGGTGTTGGTGTTGGTTTTGGTTTTGGTCTTGCTTGCTTGCTTGCTTGCTTGCTTGCTTGCTTGCTTGCTTGCTTGCTTGCTTGCTTGCTTGCTTGCTTGCTTGCTTGCTTGCTTGCTTGCTTGCTTGCTTGCTTGCTTGCTTGCTGCCTGCCTGCTTGCTTGCTTGCTTGCTTGTGTGTTGTGTTGTGTGGTGTGTGTGGTGTGTGTGGTGTGTGTGGTGTGTGTGGTGTGTGTGGTGTGTGTGGTGTGTGTGGTGTGTGTGTGTGTGTCACACACACACACACACACTCACGCACGTTGCCTGCGTGCGCCTTGGTCTGTTTGTCTGCTTGCTTGCTTGCTCGCTCGCTCGCTCGCTCGCTCGCTCGCTCGGTTGGTTGGTTGGTAGGTGGGTGGGTGTGTGTGTGTGTATGTTTGCGTGCGCGTGTTTGTTTATTCTACAGCGATCCATGTCATTGACTTGTCGGAGGCGGCTGGGGTCAACTGGCCCAGCCAACCATCTTAGCTCGTGCATCTTAGCTCGTGCAAACACAATCACAATACCACACTCAAAGCATGCCCGGCACATGCTCGTTTGCTCAAAATGCCCCAAAGATTGTCTGCGTGTTCTGTGTCTGAACGAGCAAAGCCACTCTGCAGTTTTCTCTTGAGACATGCCAAACACCCTGGCACATGCGAACGCGGAACCACTCCGGCATGGCAAGTTCAACGACTGCACTCTCGTGTCTGGGAAAGTCATGAAAATGGCGTCCCAAGGCCTTAACAAGACGTTGAAGTTTCTGCACATCGCCTGAAACAGGTAAGGTCCAGAACGGTGAGCAAAAGATTCTGACGCTCGTTTAGCAGCAGGCCCATTTCAAGATGCAGCTTGGCCAACTTCACTGAAGTGCTGAACCACAACCTCCGGACAGAAAAGAAGGTCGGATGCAGAGACTGACCATTGCATTGCCATGGGCCTCTGGTTTGCTGTTGCCTTCAAAGCATCAAGCGTAAGCTCATAGATGGTCTCCAGCTTGGCCAAATCACTGGCAGAAGAAACAGAGTCGAGGACCTGGCAAGCAAATCAACCTGTGAGCATCCACTTCTGTCAAGTCCTTGCAGGCTGCCTTCTGGCATGACAACGCTGTCAAAAGAAAACCACCTGCTGAGGACAGCACTGTGTTAATGGCTTCAGACGCATCGTTTCTTGTGACCTGCTGGCGCATGAAATCTCTCAAGCCAGCTGGCAATGCACCGCCTGGTCCATGTAGCTCAGAAGCTCTCGATATCTGGTTGCCATTTCTTCAAAGCGTCCGATTCGAGCGCCTACAGAAGCACTGCTGCTTGCGTCTGCACAAGAAAACAGCGCATGAAAGACACCACCAGGGTCTAGGTCTTGCAAAGCGCACGCCAGTCGAGCGCGTAGATGGCAGGGGGTGGCTGGGTTCTGCAAAAGCCTTGCTTTTGTGGCGCTTTCTTGCTTTTGGTGCAAAACTCCCAGCAAATCAAGTGTTGCATCCCCGGCATCATCGAGGTCGGTCCAAAGTTCGCATTTTGCTCAGCTTGATTCAGCTGGTGTTTTGCAGTTTTGGCTGGTGTTTGTCTTGAGGCATGTTAGCCTCTGCGACGGCCTACAGGCATGTTAAACTCTGAATCCGCAAGACACCGTTCATCAGTAGGCGCAACGCACAGCTGCTCCCAAATCATCCGCATGTTTGTAGCGATCTTGGGTGCAGTTGGACTTGTGTAATTTTGGAAAAGTTGTCATACGTTTCGCTCTACAAGTATTTCGATTCTACAAACAACCTAAACCCTAGGATATGTAAATACAAGCCTTCCTCGTGCATAGGTGCACGTTGCGTTTCTCGAAAGCATGTTTTGTCAGGCACATACTTTGTCTCTCTTCAGACAAAAACTGTGACAGAGTAGCTGTGTGGCTTTGCGAATTTTATACCTGGCAACAACTAACAACAACAAGGCACTGCAACAGGATGACAAATCAAATGATCTTGCAGCTGATTCTGAGAGCACATTAATGGGGGCACAGAGCCTCGGCAGCCAGCGTAGCAAGCTTATTGAGGAAACTGACACTGAGACCACGACACAAAATCACGATGTTCTGCAATGCCTTGAACCTCCAAACAACCTCAGCTGTGCGTTGTGCATCACTGCGCTATGCATTTGGTGCTAGCCTACTTCGTGGTTCTCCCTTTAAATGATGTTGTCCCACATAGATGAAAGCGAAATGCAGCCAAATCGCTTCACTTCCTCGAGTGGCCTCCAACGTGACCACTCTTTGGAATTGCTCCAGGGCCTTGGTACGATTTTGCACAGGAAGGAGTGCTCCATGCAACAAATTGCTCTTTCAGCCTGTTCCGGAAAGCTCTGCTTGTTGTCATCAGCCTACGCCACATTGCGTGAATTCAGGATGCCGCCATGACCTATGACCGCTGTCAAGGCCTCGTAAAAGGTGTTCTCGATTTGAATTGCCTCTTCATCCCCGTCCTGCGCTTTGTTTTGCATGCAGAATGCAGTTTGTTGCATTGAATAGGTCCTCCTCTTCAGCTCCGCCATATGGGTCATCATCCGACTCATACTCGAATTCATCCGAATCAGACATGAGATAGGCGAGTCACTGCAAGCCTGCATGCAGCAAGATGATGCCAAACAAACTATCACACAAGCCTTGGCGACATCGCCAAGGGCACCCACAGCAACACCTGGAAGGTTCATTGCGGTTTGCTCATCTGAAAAGCATCAAGGTTCATTCATGAATGCACGAGTGCCAAACAAGCTCTCCCCATTCATGCTTCCCCGCTTGATGAACATGCCGAAATAGATTGGTCGGAAACTGAAGCTGGCACATCGGCCTCGACAAATGTACTTCTTTGCCCAATGAGCCAACAGCATTTGGGGCATTGTGTTCTCAATGCGCTCACATGCACGAGCAAAAATCAAGCAACGTGTCGCAAAGCCACATCGTTCAGCAGCACATTTTCCACATGCTGGATGTCCAGACTGGTGTGGCTAAGTCTTGAGGCAACTGCTGTGCCTTTTGAGAGGACTAGTAGTTGCGGAAAGCAACAATGGCCGCGCCATTGCCAACATGCCACGTCGCGATGTCACGCCGAATTGGAAGTGAGTGCTTTTGGGTGCCTGTTGCGACCAGAACAACTTGTCTGGACAAATTACCGAAACTAATTAGAACGGCAAAGTCTTGGGTTCGGGAAATACAATTGCAACCAATGCAGCTGGCAACAGGGCAGTCAGCACTTAGTTGCTTGAAACTAGTGGTTGTATTGCGCAGGTTTACACCACAAGCACGTCACACTCGAAGATTCACAGGGAGTCTTTGCCAGCTGCGGCTTGCTCATACACTTGAGCAAACGCCTGGTCCTGCGTCACAAGCACCAGCAGAACTCAGCACAAGGCATGCTCGAGCTCCTTCATAATTCTGCCCATGAAGTCAACGAAAGCCTGAATGCTTCACCGCATGCGGGGGACTGCATGATATTCAGCCAGGGCTTTCCCGCCTTGTGCTGATTTGCCTCGGCTATGGGCTCCACAACCTTCAGAGTCCTTGCATATAATCTCAGCATGTCCATCGCACGGCCTGAGCGCAAAACGCTCCATAAAGAAAACATTTGACGTCTTCCCAGATGTAGAGCACTTGAATATGTTTTTCTAGAGGAGTCTGTCAGTGCTTCGACTCATTGAAATATCTAACTTTGTTTGGCATCACCGTACATGGATCACTACTACTACTACTACTACTACTACTACTACTACTACTACTACTACTACTACTACTACTACTACTACTACTACTACTACTACACTACTACTACTACGACTACGACTACGACTACGACTACGACTACGACTACGACTACGACTACGACTACGACTACGACTACGACTACTGGAGTCCAGCCCCAGAACAAGGCCGGTGACTGCCGAAACGGGGGGCTCTTTGCTCGAGGGAGGTCAGCAAGGCCTGCGGGCGGCCTCGACTTGGGAGAGGTGTATCTTCCCTGGTAGTTCAGAGCAGTAGTAGTAGCAGTAGTAGTGCTGAGCACCAAGCCAACTTGCTGTTTGGCCTGCACCTGTTTGATCCATCTCATGATGCAGCGGTCGAACCTGGCCAACAACCAACAAAGGTTAACTATGGAGACACACGCGACCAAGCGTTGTCCGTGCAAATGATGCCTTGCACAAGAGTCAACGGTTCATCAGGCAAAATGATCTACAGTGAAAACCCAACGCGAGCTATGCAAGTACACCACATTAAACAGGCAGGCACACGGCTCCACTAGATCACCAACGCGGCCCATGATTCGGAACAGTGCGAAGTTCCAGGAGCACAAATCTTGCAAGAGCCTGGCATTGAATTGCAAGGCTCAAATTTCCAAGGATTGCACACATGCCACGCATTGAAACCAGTCAGGAGCGCTGACAACAAATCACTTGAATGTCCTCGTTGTCTCCCATTCCTGGAAAAAGAGGCGCAACCAATCGGAGACAACACCGCAAGACTGAAGGCCGACAAAAAATGACTGTGTTGCTGTCAATGTGTGCATTGTGTGATGTAACGGAAGCAGGGCCAGGCACACTGAATTCGGAATCGCAGCAGGAAAAGCTTGGTTTTCCTTCAGGTTTGAAAAGTGTTGAATGCTTAACTCCTGAAAGCAAACTTGCATCTGACTGCCGCTATTCACTGGCAGGAGATACTTTGCAGTGGCAAAAAGAACATGTTTACCCATACGCCTTAATGAGCGACACCAACTCGTGACCTGTCTTTGAAGCTGTGTTGCCATGCCAAAAAAGGCGGTCAACTGCAGACTGATCAGTTGAAATCCCCTTATGATCCATTTAGCCGACGTCAGGTTTATCTGTGTTGCAACCCAAATACCCTGCATCGCCCTGGCTCTCCTTGCAGCACCAAATCTATCAGAGCTGGTGACGCCACCTGCTCTGGATAAGCTGCCAAAAGGGAGCAGCACACCTTAGCGTAAGACTACTCGGAGGACTCGGCGTATGAAGTTAGCTGCAGAACCGTGTACGCAAACTTGCGCAGCGGCAGCCCATCGTCAACCTTCACATTGCAGAGTCACGATTTCACATGCAGTTTTGCTTCACTGCAAAGAAGCCTTGTGCTTGAAGGGCCCCAAATCTACCTCTCGAATGAGCTCTGGCCTGCCGAACGTACCATACAAATCAGCACATGCTGTAGCCTCTTGGCTCCCGACTTTTGCTTTGAGTCCTCTTTGATGCGGTCGAGTATCAAGTCTGTGCTGTCCTGCATTCAGCAATCTCTGCTTCAACTGTCAAGCATCTTCATTGAAAGTGATGTTCCATTCCGTACTGTCCTGCAGAACTTCGGAACAGGTTGGCGATACACAAACCACATTGACCGAGTGCAGCGCAACCTTTCGCACCTGCAAACAAAACGCTTGTGATGTGGTTGCCGGCTGCAATCGCGGACAACTTGCCTGCAGCTCTTCATCACCAAGGCAATTCAGCAAAGCTTCCTGCAGCACAACATACATGTGTCGCAAGCCTGAAGAGAAAAGCACCCACACCTTTAGAGGCAGAATGGTTGATGCCTGCAAGCTGCCAATTCTCTCACGCACAAACGATCAATATTTAATCGCCCCCAACCTGACAATGCTTGGCTGCAGCAAAGCGCACTGAAGCCACTGCGGCCGCGCGCATTCGCCAGCTGTCCCTTCGCAACATGCCCACACTGCCCCAATTCCAAGGTAACAAAGCCCTTTGTGCAGTGCCGGCACGGTTGCCATGCCGGTTGCGCCTATCTTTGGAAAGCAGAGCTGACAACGCCTGCATAACTGCCTCCTGCCATCATACTGGTTGCTTGTACACAAGCATCATCAAACTGGTGATCAGGACAAAATCAGACAATGCTGAGATCAGCAAAGCTTTCGATTCAAGTACAGCATGGACAGCAAATTGATGTGATTTGCGGGCCAAACTATATCTGCGTGGAACACTGATAATCAAGTCATTCTGTTGAGAGCGCCAGGCCTGCAAAAAAAGGTCTCGCTTCTGTCAACTCTTTTCATAGGACCAGGGCTGTACTCACAAATGGTGCTGGACGACGCAGATTACGTGACTTAGCATGGAGGATGCAAACATCTTGGAAGAAGTTCCTCCTGTACTCACAGTTGATGTAGTTTTCGGAGTAGGCGCGGGCCTTTTGTTGTTGTTTTTGTTTGTGGGTGGGTGTGTCATACATTCTCGGTTGTGCTGTTACCTTTGTGCGGCGGATGCAAGCAAAATCAAACAACGAAGTAAACATGTCATAGTGTGCGTGCGTACTCACGTACGTCAACATTCACACCCAAAAAAGTGACAACTTGCCGGTCTCCTGATCAACCGCAAGAAGGTGCCCAAGTGATTCAGAGACCACGTTCCGCATGCTTTCCTGCACAGCTTGATGTGTGAGGCTGTGAGAGCGTTTGTTCAGCCAACTCCCCAGCCAATCCAGCAAACCCAGCCAACCTCCTGTGAGTCGGCGTATTCCTGCAGAATTGGCCTTGGAAAGAACAATTGGGACTTGCTATTTGAATCTGCGCATATGCAGAAGCATGAGACCCGGGCAATACTCGTGGAACATGCGGCTTGAGATGCTCGGCTAAAGAACTTGAACCTTGCCTCGACGTTGCAGTCTGTCGAATGTTCATTCGGCTAGCCGCCTGCCTTTGGGAGACCCCAATGGCAATGACCTCCCGAAGCGAAGTCAGCAGTAAGTACCTGAAATTACAAAGCGAAAATTCATGCTGACTTTATTCATGCAACATCATTCAACCAGGTACATTACATTATTCACGTCGGTACGCGTGCGCACGCGCAAAACATGCCACATCAATTGCCCGAAACCTCCGAGCTCCGCGGGGCACTGCTTCTTTTGGCCTGGAGCCTCAGAACCAGCCTGGCACAAACAGCTGAAAGCCATTTCGCAGGGAACCTCAAGGACCTCACCTGCTGGACGTTATCAATGACAACTTTCAGCAGGGTTCCCATTGCTCCGACTGTCGCCTCGGGCAACTCACAATAGAAGCCAGAATCAAGACAAACCTCTAAATCATGGGCGCTGCATCCTGCTTGGTGCGGCATATTGCTGTGGCTGCTGCATACCCCAGCGCCAATGCGGCTGCTAATCGAATCTCATCCTGAAGCAATCGTCTGTCGTAAACAAACAAGAACAGCACAGTCCACCAGGCATACAAAGTCCTGTTGACTTTCGAGCTGCTGCAGCAGAACTTCACAAAATCCTGGAACACCGGAGAGATCTATGTACCTGAAATAATTCGAAGTCAAACCGCACTCAGTAACATTGATGAATGCTTTCTCATGCGACGAGAGCACTTGCCAGTCTCGCCCAAAGCCAGTAGAGAGAGCTCGCACTGGTGCGTGACCTCACATATATATATATATATATATATACGCGCGGCAGGGACCTTTCAGGAACATTTGTCCATTCAGCTCTTGTTCTGACTTGACCCTCTCTCTTCATCCCGCCCCTTCATGCCTCACAGAGAAGACTGAGAAGCGGGATGGCGGATGGGGAGAGGAAAGAGAGGCTGAAGGTTGACGGCGCGCTCGCAAATCGTTCTCTGAGTTCAACCGCCAATCAAGGAAGCTCCAACATTCCCATTTCCTTCTCTCTTGCTCTTGGGATTGCACCGCCATGAAACCCTTGATTAAGACATGCGGTTGCGGTGTACGAAAGCAAAAAAAGCTTAACCGTACTCCCAGACGTAGGAAAGGGATGAGGTTAGCCTCTCCCATTTCCTTATCCAACCCCATTCAAAAATCTTGAAAATTGGGTGAGATGGAACTAGAGAAAGCACCGGATGGAAAGGAATGGGAAAGGATATTATTGTCCCTAAAACCCTTCCATTTCTAGCTGATGGCGAGAGATGCACCCCTTTCCTGTCCTCTTCACATCTCCCTTTTTACAACAAATAACAAGATAGTGGAAAGGGTGATGCTGAACAAGATAGAGAGAGAGAGGGCTGGACGGGGATGAAGAAAACAAGGGATTTAACAATTCTTGACATTTATTTCGCAAACTCTCGTTCCACGATTAACAAAACGGTTTGAGAATTGAGGAACCATGTCCATCAATTCCCTTGACCGCTGTCTTTGCTTTCTCGGCAAAACCCTTGAATAAGACATGAGATTGATGGCGCGCGAAACGACATGCAAAGATTAACCGCTATCCCAGACGTAGGAAAGCGAGTGAGCGAAGGGGATGGACTCGCTCTCCCTTGTCCTCTTCCCTTGCCAATTGCTTCGGCGAGGGAGGAAAGAGGGGAAGACAAAAATGGGACATGAGCTCGCTTTCATTATCTCATCTCATCCTTCGTCTCTTCATACCATTCCCTCATCAACTCGCATTAGATTAAAGGGAACAGGATGACGAAGTCAAGGGCTCTTTAACTCTTTCACCCACCAACATCTTGCCTACATGTCACTGCCCGGGCTAACCGTCCCCCGCTTCCCTCTAGTGGAATCGCATGCTAGGTAGGTGAAAGGAGAGAAAGAGTCGATATGCGAGAGAAAGGGGGATGGAGAGACGAGAGTGGGATTGGGAATGGACCATTGCCCACTCTCATCTCTCCATCACACACCATCCCTTTCTCTTCATACTCTTTACCTTCCTTCTTTTACCCACAGACTAGTCATGGGCTTCCCTCTCTATTTGTCTCGCGTCTTAATCATGGACGAGGCGAAGTTGGTCAGGGATGGGATCCCCGGAGCTATGCCATAAGATATGAAGGGAGGCGGGGCAATAATTCCTTTACTACTATTCATCTCTTTATCTCTTACCTGTCACCCCCCTTCACCCTCCAGTCTCAATTCCTAGCAACCTAAAGTGACGGGTGAAGGGATAAATAGATGAGAAAGAGAGATAAGTGAGTGAATGGTTGTGAGGGACACAATGCTTCTTGGATGGTTTCGTTTCTTCCTTGACAGTCAGTGTTCAATAATTATTGGTCTAGACGCTTATCTGTGAAATCCTTGGCTTTTCATATCATCTTCTTGTTCATTGTCTCAGTTTGGAAGGGTTTCCCATTCTCTCGTCGTACATTTTGGAAAGTTTCTCATAGAAAAACAACAAAAGGTTTTATTATAAGATCTCAGAATATAGGATTGGTAACAGGAGTTACAAGCATGAAAAGATGACATTCAGTACTGAGAAAAGGACCATAGTAAAAAGAAAAGCCAAATATTCTAATGATACAACTGAAAAGAAAGGAAGTCTAGTATTGTCGTGCTAAATATTTTCGTTCTACTACTCACGAAATCTTATGATTTGCGTGTCGAATAATATTTTTTCAGGAATTACATTGTTTTTTTGTTTACATTTTCCCTGGCCCCCTCTTAGGTTTATAATTATGTAACATGAGGAGTTAATTCAGCATATGCTAGCATTGTCTTGTTAATTAGGGAAAAACTGTGGATGGCGTTCACGCTATCTATCCCAGACGTAGGAAAGCGAGTGAGCGAAGGGGATGGACTCGCTCTTCCTTGTCCTCTTCCCTTGTCAATTGCTTCGGCGAGGGAGGAAAGAGGGGAAGAGAAGATGGGACATGAGCTCGCTTTCATTATCTCAGCTCATCCTTTCATCTCTTCATACCATTCCCTCACCAACTTGCACTAGATTAAAGGGAACAGGATGACGAAGTCAAGGGCTTTTTAACTCTTTCACCATAAAAATATTGTCTACATGTCACTGCGGGCCAACCGTCCCCCGCTTCCCTCTCTCCACAACCTGTCAGCTCGTGGAATCGCGTGCTAGGTAAATGAACGGAGAGAAAGAGTGGATATGCGAGAGAAAGCGATGGGGGATAGAGAGACGAGAGTGGGATTAGGAATGGACCATTGCCAACTCTCATCTCTCCATCACACACCATCCCTTTCTCTTCATACTCTTTCCCTTCCTTCTTTTACCCACAGACGACCAGGGTAGGGATAGAAGAAGGGAATGGGATGTCATGGGATTCCCTCTCTACTTGTCTCGCCTCCTAATCATGGACGAGGCGAAGTTGGTCAGGGATGGGATCCCCGGGAGCTATGCCACAAGGCGGGGCAATAATTCCTTTACTACTCTTCATCTCTTTATCTCGTACCTGTCACCCCCTTCACCCTCCATTCTCACTTCCTAGCAACCGAAAGTGACGGGTGAAGGAATAAACAGATGAGACAGAGATAAGTGAGTGAGAGAAATCATGCTGCTTGGATGGTGTCTTCCTTGGCAGTCAATGGTCAATATTTCTTGGGTATAGACGGTTATCTGTAAAACCCTGAGTTTTATTAACTGTGGAAGGAAGGGTAGGGAAAGAAGAAAGGAATGGTCGGTTCCGTTTTCTAGAGGGAAGCCATTTGCTGTGTGACTCGATCACCGCACTCGAGCCGCGGACGCGAGCGCCCAACCCGAATAGTCAGAGACCCCCCTCGAGTTTAAAAGTGTGTGCGTGTGTGCGAGAGCAAGAGAGAAACATGGAGCGATTGATTAGAAGTCTTGGAATTCCGAGAACTATTTCTATAATTATTGCACGTGTGTTGCTTTGAAACATGGGGAGCGTGTCCTGGAGGTTAGAGCACGATCCGTGCGAGCAGGGGAGCAAGGAATCGGTGTGTCTGTTCGGAATTCTTAAAATGGAAATAATTCCAACAATTCTACCAATTCTAATTGGAACTATTGGAATTAATATGATTTCGAATATTTCAAGTAATTATGGGAGTTCTATTAATTCCAATTTGAATTATTCCAATTGTTAGAATCAATTATAGGAATTCTAATAATTCCAATTGGAATTATTCTAATTGATAGAATTACTTTTAAAAAATAAAATAATCCCAGATGGAATTAATAGAAATAATAGAATTAATTGTAGGAATTAGAATAATTCCAATAGGAATTATTAGAATGCTTGGAATTCTTGCCTGGCCAGCATTCCCTGGCAATTATGTTTCTAGATTTTTTGGAATTAATAGAATCCTAGAATCAAATCTAATAATTCTAATTATTCCAATTCGAATTATTCAAATTCTTAGAATTAATGCTATCAAATCCAAGAATTCCTATTCAAATTGTTCCAATTCTTAGAACTAATTCTAGGAATTCTCATAATTCCAATTAGACTTTTCCCAATTGATAGAATTAATGCTTAAAATTGGAATAATTTGACTTGCCTGGCCAGCATTCCCTGGCAATTATGTTTCTGAAATTGATAGAATCTTAGAATTAATCTTAAAAGTTCCAATAATGCCTATTGGAACTAATCCAATTCTGAGAATTGATTCTTGAAATTGGAAAAATCCCAATTGGAATTATTTAAATTCTCAGAATCAATTCTAGGAGTTGGAATAATTCCAATAGGAATCATTAGAATTGATGGACTTAACTCTAGGAATGTGATTCATTTCAATAGGAATCAACAGAATTATTGGAAATCTGGCCAGGCAGCATTCCCTGGCAATTCTGTTTCTAGATGTTTTGGAATTATTAGAATCCTGGAATGATTTCTAAGAATTCTATAATTCCAGTTGGAAATATTCAAATTCTTAAATTAATTCTAAGAATTCTAAGAATTCCTATTGCAATCATTCCAATTCTTAGAATTAGTTTCAAAAGTGGAATAGTTCCAATTGGAAATACTGGAATTCCTAGAATTAAGTCTAGGAATTTGAATAATTTGAATAGGAACAGCATTCCCTGGCAATTATGCTTCTGGATTTATTGAAGTCTTAGTAATTGGGATTATTCCAATTGTTAAAATTTGCTCTAGGAATTCTTATAATTCCAATTGGAATCATTCCAATTCTTAGAATTAATTCAAAAAAAATGCATAGTTCCAAGTCGAACTATTAGAATTATTAGAGTTTATTCAAGGAATTGTATTGGAATTCTTGCAATAAAAGCTAGGAAATTGAATAATTTCGATAGGAATTCTGAGAATCAATCGACAAATCTTGCCTGGCCAGCATTCCCGGGCAATTCTGTTTCTGGATTTTTTGGAACTCTTAGAATCCTAGAATAAATTCTAACAATTCTAATAAGTCCAATTGTTATTATTCCAATTCCTAGAATTAACTCTAAGAATTCTAATCATTCCAATTGGAATTATTCCAATTCCTAGAATTAATTCTAAGAATTCTATTAATTCCAATTGGAACTATTCCAATTCTTAGAATTAATTCTAAGAATTTGAATAACTCCAAAGGGAATTATTCGAATTCCTAGAACTAGTTCTAAGAATTGGAATAATTCCAATTGGAATGATTCCAATTCGTAGAGTTGTCCAATTGGATTTTTTCAAATTCCGAGAATTTATTCTAAGAATTCTAATACTCAAAATGGAACTATTCCAATTCTTAGAATCAATTTTTGTCAATTGGAAATAGTAGAATTCATAAAATGTATTCTAAGAATTCGAATAATTCCAATTGGAATTATTCCAATTGCAAGAATTATTTCTATTAATTCTAATAAGTCCAATTCTAATTATTCCAATTCCTAGAATAAATTCTAAGAATTCTCATAATTTATTTCCAAGAATTGGAATCATTCCAATTGGAATTATTAGAATTGGTAGAATTTAATCTAGGAATTGGAATAGTTCCAATTGGAATTTTTAGAAGTCTTAGAATCAATTCTAGGATTCAAAGAACTCCAAAAATTCCAGAAACAGAATTGCCAGGGAATGCTGGCCAGGCAAGGATTTTGGAATAATTATCAGAATTCCTATCGGAAGTATTCAAATTCCTAGAATTAATTCTAAGAATTCTAATAATTCCAATTGGAACTATTCAAATTGTAAGAATTAATTCTCAGATCCAATTCGAATTATTCCAATTCCTAGAATTAGTTCTAAGAAGTCTAATAATTCCAATTGGAATGAGTCCAATTCTTAGAATTGATTCCAAGAATTGGAATCATTCCAATTGGAATTATTAGAATTCTTAGATTTTTTTCTAAGAATTGGAATAGTTCCAATTGGAATTATTAGAATTCTTAGAATTGCTTCTAGGATTCTATTAATTGCAAAAACTCCAGAAACAGAATTGCCAGGGAATGCTGTCCAGGCAAGAATTGCATGAATTCTAATAATTCCTTATTCTAATAATTCTTGTTGGAATTATTCCAATTTATAGAAAATCTACGAAATCAAAACAATCCTATTGGAAAAACTCCAATTCCTAGAAAAAGAACTATAAATTCTAATGGTTCCAAATGGAACCATTAGAATTAATTCTAAAAGTGGAATAATTCCAGCTGGAATTACTAGAATTGATGGAATTAATTCTAGGATTCTACGAATTCCAAAAAAAAATCAAGAATTCCAAGGGTTTGTCTCTTGGAATTCCTGGAGCTCCTGGAAATCTTGGCTTGCCAGCCAGCAGGGACAAATATTACCTAGAGGTCTCTCACACATATATATATATATATATATATATATGGGCACCTCGCTGTCGGGCTCCTTTGCTTGCCTCGCTTGCCTCCCTCGCCTCCCTTTCTATTGACACTGAACGATATCTTGAAAGCCATCTTGACAGGGTGTGCGAGATACATAAACTGTATTCATGGGTGTTCACTGTGCTGCTACATGGTGTATCATTCATGGTGTCGAGCTGCGCTTCAACAGTGTTGCAAAGAGATGCATTCAGCTGAACCGTTGGCACCTCCAAGAACAGGCACCCGATCCTTTTGCATGCATTGTCGCCCCACGGCTTCTCTCACGAGGGCCGCTGTAATCTCTCTTGTGAAGCCTTCAAAAGTTACGATCGGAACAAACATTGGCAATGGCTGGCAAAAAATCACTGATGAAATAATTACGACTCGGTGTTTCAAGTGGCTATTTCAATGAGTCCGTACGGAGCTGATCGGTTCAAGCCAAAACCAACAATCGTGAAAGCAAGCTATTTTTGCAATCAGAAAGCACAATCCAGAACGAGCAGGCTTCTTCTGTACACAAACTGAGATAAGCGCTTCTGGAGACGGGTTTCCTGATGTTTTCCTGATGATCTCCAGGAAGTGCTGCACTGCAGCCTGCCAATCATTTGAGATTCCTGACAAATGCACGGCACAAGCCCCCCCGCCTTTTGAACATCTGGAGCAGAAGACGAAGTGACTGCGGCCAGTCCTTTGGCAAGTGTGCCGATGACCTGTCTTCCAAGTTCGGCGCTGCTGCGACCCAAGCAACATCCAGCTACGTCGTACTCGCATCTCCTCTGCTCTGATGCGTTTCGGAAGAAGATTCAACTAAAGCACGCGCTAAGAATAAGTGAGCCCACCAGCTCTTAACAAGAGGTCATGCTATTTCAGAGTCTGCTTGCTGGTTATGAGGGTGGACGGTGGCTGATGTGCGCCAAACGGCCACAACGTGAAAAAATAGTGCTGTTTCCTTTTGCATCCGGAAAACATATAGCGATTCAAAACTATTTATATGGCCAATCAATCTCTAAGGGGCGTGGATTGGCTCAGGTTCAGGCTGAATTTGCAAGAGCCTCAGCATGAATTTCAGCCTAGTAGCAAGGCCTAAAGCAGCAGCAACACTAAACACCCTGTGAGCACATCAGCCGCGATCAAAAATACGCTATTGGCAATGGAAAAGAAGTGTTCCGCTGGCTTTTGCGGGAACATTGTGAGTCCCTCATTCCCTTCCCAAATGCACCATAGCACCCAGCACCGTGGCACAAGAATCAAAAGCCGCAAGTCTCACCGATCTGTACTCACTTGCTCAAGCATCTCAGTTGCTCAAATTTGGGCCCTGCCGAGAAGCCTGTGGGAAAAAAATGCATCAAGAAAGAACAACCTTGCGGGCTAGCGCACATTCCGCCACACACGCCAAACCAAACGGACAGCAGCGGCAATTTGACAAGCATCCTGGCTGCACTCGTAGGCTAGGATTGGGCATGGAGACTCTAGTAAGAATACGTAGTTTGCACTCAGAGTTTTCCCCTGGCACCCCTGCCACACAGTGTTCCAGTGGTCGATTCTGAGCAGAAGAGAACGGATGAAGAGCTTCCTTCCCACAAGAAGTCAAAGAACGAAAAAGTACAGATATCATGGCAGGCGCGGCACTTGAGTTCAAGACACAAAGATTGAGAGACAAGACAGATAGGCAGATAGGTAAATAGATAGATGAATAGATAGATAGATAGATAGATAGATAGATAGATAGATAGATAGATAGATAGATAGATAGATTAGATAGATAGATAGATAGATAGATAGATAGATAGATAGATAGATAGATAGATAGATAGATAGATAGATAGATAGATAGATAGATAGATTAGATAGATAGATAAGATAGATAGATAGATAGATAGATAGATAGATGGATGATAGATAGATAGATAGATAGATAGATAGATAGATAGATAGATAGATAGATAGATAGATAGATAGATAGATAGATAGATAGATAGGATTAGATAGATTAAATAGATTAGATAGATTAGATAGATTGGATAGATTAGATAGATTAGATAGATTAGATAGATTAGACAGATTAGATAGATTAGATAGATTAGATAGATTAGATAGATTAGATAGATTAGATAGATTAGATAGATTAAATAGATAGATAGATAGATAGATAGATAAATAGGTAGATAAATACATAAATATATAAATAGATTCGCCTCGGCCCCAACCCCTCTTGCCCCCCCCCCCACCCATGTCGGCTGGCCCAAAATCCTGTCCGGCGGGCCTTGAAATTTTCGGGGTTCGTCGGCGTCCAGCTCCATGGGTCCATTTTTGTCGAAAATGTGCTGACAATTGCGAAATCATTAAAAAATTGCTTTTTGTCCTGAAAAGCATGGCCAGGCCTGTCTGACGTGTCTGAGCCCAGCCCAACCAGCAACCCGCCTGCTGGCCAGGCCTGTCAGCCCAGCCCACCCAGCCTCAGGCCCAAGCTTGTCTGAAACAGGCCCAGCCCAAGCACGGCCCCAAGTCATCCAGCAAGCCCAGCCCAGCCTGCCCAGCCCAGGCGCATCTCAGGGCATGCCGACTAGGCTGGCCCCAGCTGCCAGCCCACCAGTGCCAAGGTCAGGTTTGTCTAAGTGTCTGAGACTGGCTTGAGGATAACGACCAGTCTCACGTTCTCAAGCTAGCCAGCTACTAAGCCTGTCTGACGTGCCCCAGCCCCTCAGTCCGGCTGCCCAAGCAACGCAGCCCAGGCTGGCCAGGCCTCTCGCGTCTGGCCCCAAGTCATCCAGCAGGCCCAGCCCCTTCGGCGCAGTCTGATGGTCTCAAAGTATGCCAGCCTGAGACTAGCCTCCCCAGTCCCTCTGGTGTCTTACGTGTCTGCGACTGGCCTCAGGCCCAGCCCAGCCAGCAACTGGCCACCCGGCAGCAACCCGCCCAAGCACAGCTCAGCCCAGCCCGCCCAGCCCAAGTTCCTGACCAGGCCCAGCCTGAGACTAGCCTCAGGCCCAGTCCCTCAGCCTGCTGGCGTGTCTTACGACGTGTCTGCGACTGGCCTCAGGCCCAGCCCAGCCAGCAACTCGCTACCCAGCCTCAGCCCAGCGTAGTCCGGCTGCCCAGCAGCCAGCAACCCACCCACGCAGCCTTGTGGCTGAGACTAGCTTCAACCCCAGCCCAACCAGCAACCCGCCTAAGCCAACCCCACCCAAGCCCACCCTGTTTGAGACTCGCAGGCCTCAGCCTATCTAGCGCCGAGACTGGGCTCACCAGCCTGGGCTCAACTAGCGTCCAGCCCAGCCCAGTCCGCCTGCTGGCCAGGCCTGTCTGACGTGTCTGAAACTGGCCTCAGGCCCAGCCCAGCCATAGCCCAGAAACTAGCTTCAGGCCCAGCTCAACCAACAACCCACGCAAGCAAGGTCCAGCCAAGCTGCCCGAGACTAGCTTCAGGCCCGCAATTATCTGATGTGTCTGAGACTAGCCTGTGGCCCAGCCCAACCAGGCGAGGCCGGCTTGTCTGACTTGTCTGGAGCCAGCTTCAGGTATTCGGACCTTCCCAACACTGGATTTCGGTGTTCCTGACCCTTCCCTCAAACTAGGCTGGGCCGAGGCGGGCAACGCGAAGCGTTTACAATAGATAGATAGATAGATAGATAGATAGATAGATAGATAGATAGATAGATAGATAGATAGGTAGACAGATAGATAGATAAATAGAAAGAGGGGTAGGTGGGTAAATAGATAGATATATGGACAGCGACATATGATACATAGATAGGCGGATGGATGGATGGATAGATAGCCAGCAGACAGATAGATAGATAGATGGATAGGTAGATAGATATATAGATAGATGACCGAGGGTCAATTGAAAGTCCTGCGTGCGTACCCCTCCACAGCAAAGCGAAGAGAGAGAAAGCAAGAAAGCAAGATAAAAGGAAAGAAAAAAGGAAGAAGGGAACAAAGAAAGGAAGGTAGAAAGGAAGAGAGGAAGGAAGAAGAAAGGTTGAAAGCAAGAAAGGGAAAAAAGTAAAAACGGGAGAAAAAAAAGAAAGCAAGAAAGACAGAAAGAAAGAAAGGAAGGGAGGAATGAAGGAAGGAATGAAGGAAAAAGGAATGAAGGAACAAGGAATGAAGCAAAAACGGAATAAAGCAATAAAGAAAGAACCACAGCAGGAAAGGAAGAAAGAAAGGAAGAAAAACAATACGGCAGAAAGAAAGGAGGAAGAGATGAAGAAAAGAAGCCAAGAGGACAGCCAGAAAGAACAGAGCAAGACCGAATGAAAGGCTCAAATGCATGGCTGGATACCTGCGTGAATGAAGAACTGGAAGAATGGACGAATGGATGAATGCAGACGCATGGACGCATGGATGCATAGATTCATGAATGTATGGGTGCATGGACGCAGGAATGCAGGAATGCATGGATGCATGGATGCATGGATGCATGTGAATGAATGGGTGGATGGATGGACGGACGGACAGACGGATGGATGGATGGATGGACGGACGGATGACGGACGGATGGACGGACGGACGGATAGATGGATGCACGGACGCACGGACGGATGGACGGATGGACGGATGACCAAATGGACGGATGGACGGACCGACACAGACGGACGGATGGACGGATGCACACACGGACGGATGCACGGACGGAAGGATAGACGGGGGCAAGGATGGACAGATGGACGGATGGACGCACGGACGGACGGATGCATGGATGGACGGATGAATGCATGGATGGATGAGTGAACAATCGCAAACAACGAACGAATGAACAAATGTCTCAGAGATGGTACAAAGGCATCAAGGAATGGCAGTAGCAAGCTCAAAGTTGGATCAGCTTCCACTAGGCTCTTAGTGAGGTACTGACTCAAGGAACATGCGAGTGCTCCCAATGCTAGCTGCAGTTGCATGGCATGCTCAAACATGGCAGGCCAACATGTCGCTGAGCCTGTCCACCAGGAGCAAGTCACTTCTCTTGTTGCCAGCGGCTTAGCATATGAATGTCAAAGCCTGTGCTTGTGCGGAGGCAATGACGGAGGTATTGCTCAGCTCCTAGTCCAGACAGAGCAGGCGGCAATGCAACTTGCAGCCATGTGAGCCACACAAAAAAGGAATGACATGGGAAAATCAATGTCCCCCCTGCTTTTTGCGGAAGACGTAGTGAGTCCCGGCAACTCGGCAACTTCGACCGAACCTCATGTCCTGTCGGAGCTTCTCAAAAGGGCAATGCTCTCGGTGTTGGGCAACGCGAGACAAGAAATTCAGAATGGAGTCCTCGCAGCTTGCATTGCAGCTCATCCAAACTGACCGAGACCGACTGAGACCCCTACCAAGGCACTTCCCTGAAGCAAGGGTGACCGGCACACCGTGAGCACAGCTGGCACCTGCAAAACCGCAAGCGTGAGACATGTCAAGCGATTGAGAGCAAATGAAGAAGCCCGAGATGGTGGGGCCCATGAGTCAACCAGGGCACACAACGCTCAATCACTGTTGGTGCCATTCGCGGCGAAGTGATAAGAACCTGGCAGCAATTGCATGAAATACAAAACAAAACAGCAATTGGTCTCAATTCTGCAACAACTCAAGCCAGGATTGCTTGAACTGCGATCTGCACGCACAGGTCTGTGATGTAGAGGTCGGTGTAAGTAATGAAAGCTACCATGTCGCCTCATGTTCCAGCATGCATGAAATCTGCTTTAAGGAACCATTGGCACTTGTTCAAGTTTTCGGGCGCCTAAAATCTGCATCGTTGTGTCAGTTGGCATGGCACTGCCGTACCTGCACCCCCCGCAAAATCAAGCCTTGCTGCCATGTAGATTACGCAGGTCACTTCCTGATCAGCTGCACGAGCGCATCCAAGCACTGCTGCCTGTAAACGACATGTGTGCGCTTTAAATCTTGCATATACTGAAGATGACGGGCGACCACCCTTCTCGTTCCCTCTCTCTCTCTCGCACTCTCTGTACAACTTTCGGCTCATCCCATCAAGCGTCTCTCTCCTCCGGCTTGTGCTGATGAGCATGGAAACCAGAAAAGTGTGGCATGTCCACTTTTATATGTTCAGGGGAGAAGGACGAGATCTCGAGCTGGGTTTCGCCACCATGTTCTCTCAGGCCTGAAAGAACGGCTGTTCTGACTCAAGTACTGCGACAGGTTGCTGCCGACCTTAGCAGGACAACATCAATTTCTAATGGGGATATGGCTCGTGAACAGCTGAGGTGTGGACTGCTGGCAGAATCGAGCTGACTGCAGCAACCTGCACCTACAGGACGGGACAAAGAAATATGCATGCTGTCAGGAAAATGTTGTCATTCCAGCAAGCCCCTGCCTTTGAGATACAGATGGTCCTTAATGCCTTGATGGCTGTTGATCTGGTCACCTGCAGCGTCCGTCAACCATCATTCACAAAAATGGGTGGTAAATTTCATTCATGCCAGTATTGTGGCAGCGAGCTCGTCGTTTAGTGTAAAAAAAAGGGCCAGGATGAATACCAGCCTCATTCTTGATCCTTTCCACGAAGGAAGGCAAGCAGTCTTGTATCGCTGCCTGAAACTCTGGGAGGTCCTGCACAAGCCAACTTCAAAGACTCTCATGGCCTGTAATTCATACAGTATTGGTTGGCGTCTACTTCAATGCGGTCCCCAGTGCAGGCAACCAGGTGCCCCAGGCATTCCAGGGCACTTTCTTTCACCTGCTCAAACCACGGGAAACAAGAACGGCGTGACTGCAAGAGCCAGCTGCCTCCTGGTCAATGTCAGTTGCAAGGAGCTTTGCCTTGAGTACCTTCAGAAATGCAGCTCCAGCAAAATATGCAATCTCAGCGGGGCACGTCGTAGACAGGCAGCATTTCTTTCAACTCAGGACTGGCTTGCTCAGGAGTTGGCCTGGCCAGTGAAATCGTTTGCCAATCCTCCAGGCCTCAGGAGCGCCTAAGCGTGTAAACGTAGGCCCCGATAGTTCGAAGAGCCTGCACACGCTCCGTCTCAAAACCGATCCAGTCACTGGCAACCTCACAGCCTTCCCAAGCCTAGTTGATGCCGAGCCACAAGGGCGACATGCAACCCAAACAGGCCATCTGGAAACGGTTTGCCGCTTTGCATGTTTAAGTTGCACGCAAGGCGTTTTGTAATGTCATCATGTATTTATCAAATCAGATCAGCTGCTTTGCACACCGTTTGGCAGGCAGCGTGGTGGTAACAACTACCGACAGAGGAGACACGCAACAGGAAGCAACAATGCCGGTATGCCTAGCCTGCGCGATGGACTTGTAGTAGCTATCCGCGCAGCACGCAAGGAACAAAGGACCTGCAGCTCAAGCTTTGCAAGTACAGCAGTTTGATTCAACAAATGTCATTCATCCTTTTGCTCTAACTAACATTGAAAACAAATCTGCGATCCATCACCCCCACAACCTCGATTTACCCTCATATGGCCCACTTCAAAGCGAACACGGTTTCAAGCCAGGACTGCCCCAGATGACTTGTATCGCATGCAGCCGCATATCTGAATACTTGATATCGATTGATATCATATACGTGTTCCCCTGGGGTTGCACAGCTTGGTGCCATGCAAAGCTCCGGCGCCAGCTGCTGAAATGTCCTGGGTGTCATGAAGTTTTCCGCCAGGTGCCTGCGCACTCGAAGATCACAAGTATCTCTGGACATTGCGTGTTTGTACCTACCGAAAGTGTGAAATACGCAGGACCCACAGCGGGTTTCTCAGCATAGTCAAAGATGGCGCACCGCTTCCAAGAACAAACAACAGAAGAAAAACCTCCAAAAGGCAAATACTGTCTCCTGCTCTGAGCGCATCCCTGCGTTACCGAAGTTCGGCTTCAGTCCGTCGCCTGACTAGCACCAGACTGTCCAGCCGCATCGAAGAGTTGGACTCTTTCATAGCGCGAATTAGCTCATCCTTCACCTGAAAACCCATTGGTGAAGTGCAACGAGCCTGCTCCCTCAATCCTGCCTGAGGAAGATTTGGTTCCACATGCTGCGGAATGCATTCAGACCTCAACAGTTCTCAAGTGTCAAAAAGACACTCAGATGCGGTCAAACAAAGCTCAGAAGCACACAAGGTTCTCAGAAGTGCCAGCGCACCTTGCCGTGTCTTTGCAGCCTGGCGAATTCTGGCACATACGCAAAGAGGGACACTTACAATGCAAACCATCCCCGCCTTGGAGCGCATCTGCTTGTTCAGCTGCGACATGCAAGAAGGCATCACTGCGATCAGATGATGGGCGTTCGGCCGCTCCTGGAGGATTGGGGAGCGTGTGCGACGTGTGCGACGTGTGCGACGTGTGCGACGTGTGCGACGTCTCTGCATCTCAGGCCTTGGGAGCTGCCGGACGCTCCACCTGTGCTCTCACACGCACCAAACTCATTCGCAGACTTCCCACCTCTAAAATGAAGGAGGAAGATGTCGCTGGGCCCGATGTTGTGGACACAAAGGGCTGTGCCTGGCAAACCATCAAAGACAATCATATCACATCCTGGAAATTATTTGTCACCTTGATGACAGCAGCTTGTGCCATCTCCCCAAAGGTCGTGAACACGTCCAGCTTCACACTCTCTTCTCCTTGCTCGCAGCACAGCGCAGGCCGTGCCAGCATAAGCACCGTGGCTAAGCGTAAGACGCTCGTTGAAGCGATTGATCAAAGGCTGCGCAAATTTGGTATAGATCTCATCTAACCTGTCAAGTGCCATGCCCTTGAACAGCCCTCAAGAACTGCAGTGACAAGACTGCCATTGAAGGATCAAGCTTTAGATCTTCCGCAAACTCTCGCAAGTTGCATCTCCAGTCGCCTGTCCGGCAACCCCTTCACCATCGCCTCCAGCACCTACCAAACCGCGACGCTTCCGCTGTGAGGCAGTTATGAATGACAAAAAATGACCCTGCGTACATTGTAAATCGCTAGTCCTGTTTTGGGCAGCAAGCAGGGGAGAAAACCGCTCCACATGATTAGCAGAAGGTTTCCGACCTCTTGCTGCCTTCGGGGTGCTGTTGCAGCCACCTGTATAGGTGATGTTTGCTGTTGACGCTAAGGAGAGTCAGGTGCAATCTCCGCGCCCGATCTCATTCTCTCAATAATGATGATGAAGGTGATGATGACGACGATGTGGATAATGAACACGGGAAAAACGACGACGACAACGATGTGGTGCCCCTGAAAAAGAAATTAAAGGGCC